AAGCTTTATTGCAAAGTGGGATAACATTAAAAGCATTGAGACTATTATGAAGATAGACTGATGATCACATCTCATGGATCATGGATAAAGAGTTATCAAGTCTTGACATAGGTATAAATATTAGGAGTAATATTTATACCGGATTGACCCGCTATGAGAATACTACATAGTATGTTATGCAAAGTGTCATAAGTTATTCTCATGGTGATAATGGTGTATTACCACCCTTCGACCTGAAACCACTATGGACCCTAGATGTAGAGTCGGATGCTTTATTGCTGATCAAACATTATCCGTAACTGGATGATCATAAAGACAGTTGATGGGCACTCCACGAAGCATGCTGAGGGACATGAGTGTCCTAGATGGAATTTGCCAATCCTGCATAACAGGAGAAATGTCTAAGGGCCCAATATTGAACTGGACAAGGATGACACAGTGTATGCCTTGTGTTCAATATAGACATAGGGGCAAAAGGGTAATTGTACAAACATATATTATCACGAAAAAGGTTTTGTCAGATCACATGACATTTTCGTGACTTGGGTAGCAGTGATGTGTTGCTAGATACCGCTTACTGTTTATTATGTTAAATATATAATTTAATATAATTACCAACGTTACGAAATCCTACAGGGTCACACACATAAGGACAGTTTGATGAGAGATAGAGAAATCAAAGGAACACCGTAAGGTACGGTGCACTTAAGTGAAAAATAGAAATTCGGATAATATAATAATAATTATTGTTATTTTATAATGGTTATAAAATAATAATAAAATAAATATATTTATTATAATAATAGTTATTATAATAATATATAATATTATTATGGATCATGTGAATTGGGTTTTTAGCTCGCAGCCCACAAGAGAGTCTATAAAAGGAACCCTTGTGATGAAGCTTTCACTTGATGCAATTTCGTTTTTGATTCTCTTTTCTCACTCAAATAATTCCGTTCGTAAGCAGCTAGCACTGTGACCGGAAGCTGTTCGTGTGGACTGAGTAGAGGCGTTGCACTTCATCAACGCTTGTGATCGCTGCATCAAAGATCTGAATCGCCACAAAGAGGTAACGATTCTATCACTGACCATGCTCATTCGTAAGGATCACTAAAGGAAATTTTTGTTTTCCGCTGCGTTTAGATCGCCATTTTCCTTCAAAAAAGTCATGTGGTGTGAAGCACCGCTATCAAGTATCCAATTGAAACAATATTCAAATTTACCAGACATGTTTTCGTGTGAGTTTGTATGGTTTTTGGCACAAACTCCATGCAGGGTGTGTCCTGATGTTGATGCTTCTGGATATTATTTTCTCTCATCGGCCTGAGCAAAATTTGCTACTTGTTGTCCTCTTGACTTGTTAGGTTCTCGCCTTTGAGTTCTTCGTGATTCCTAACTTCCGTGATATCCAACAATATCAAAGCATTTTGCCTTGACATGTCCAGTTTTCCCACAGTGATCACACTTTAATCTTGAGTGATATTTCCTCCCTCTCTTCCTATCTGCACTTGAGTAAAATGCAGATGTATTTTCCATCTTGGAATCTCTTTCCTTATCTGCTGCAAAACGAGATTCTTCTTTTTTCATTTAATTAAAGACATGCCTAAGAGATGATAGTGGATCAATATTAAGTATGGTTACCTTAATATGAGAGTATTGTTCACTATCAAAGCATCCAAGAAAAAGATAAACTCATTGTTCTTCTTTCCCTTGTGTCAATACTTTACCAGCTCCACAACTACATTCAGGTAAGGTTTGCAATTCACTCAATTCATTAACAAGACTTTTGAATTGAGTATAGTAATATGTTACACTTATTTATGGTTATTTCTGCATTAAACATAAGTTTCCCCATATTTAATGGATTAGTAGTGCATTGATGTGAGAAAGGTGTTCTTCAAGATCCACCCACACATCTCGAGCCATTGAATCATGTGAGATGATGTTGTGTAGATTTGGTTATGTCGCATTAATCAACCAAACTGTCATCATTGAATCTGCCTTCTCCCAGTCATGGTATACTTCAAATTGACTTGACGGTTTCTTGATGCTTCCATCTATGAAACCCAGTTTCGTCTTGGCACACAAAGCCGTCTTGATCGATCTTACCCATGTGCGGTAATTATCTCCATTCAACAATGTTGTCGCGAGTGGAGTTCCATAATCATCAGAGTTATTTAGATGATAGGATTATGTATTTTTTGTTTCAGGTTTGGAGGTATTTTTTTCCTCCAAATTATCTTCCAAATGGAAACCATGCTCGGATGCCATAATAGAAAGTTAACTTGAAAAATATGTTGTATTCTTATGGTTCTCGATGATACATGACATGCCTTTTTATATAGGCTGATGATCTATCTTTTAGAGCTTGAAAATATGATCAATCATAACAAACCCTAATAAACCTATAACAAACCATTAAATAACAAACCTATAACAAAATATTAAATTTATCTCTAATATAACCTAACATGTAATTCTTAAACTTATGAACAAATCTTGAATTTGTAATGTTACTAGAAGCATTCTGAATCAAATGTTAGACACAAAGACAATGATTAACATCTAGAAAAACTCTTCTTATTGCATTTCAATTTGCTAATTCCCCATCTATTATTCCAGATACGTAACACTTTCCTTCGATTGCTTCAACGAAATTCATCAAAAGTCACACATAAGTTTCTTCAATTTTATCACCTACAATAACACTATAAAATATAATACTTTAATTGTGATGATTTACTCCAGAAAATATGACTAAGGACATATTATATTTTATTTTCCTATATGTCGCATCAAACGCCAATACATCACCAAATAATGAATAACTTGTAAGACTAACACCATCATACCAAAACAGATACTAAAGCATAGCATTCTCATTCACAATATGTTTTCAATACATAATATCATTGCTATCACACATTCCCTTAAGGAAATCAAGTGCACTATCAACATCATAACTCTTAGCCCCAACTCTTTTAAATTGCTCGTTGTACATGTCTCTTCTAGAATAACCAACATTCTCATACCCACCAGCCAGTGTAGCAAAGAAATCACAGATATGTGAGGTTGGGATACCAAATTTTATCATTGTTTTCATTTGGTATTTGTCGTACTCTCTCATCTTTATATGTGCTAGAAGCACCCTTTCATAATTGCTACTAACAAATGAACGATTATGGGCATCGTGAAACAATTTAATGTACCATCGATCTAAACTAGCATCAAGACGAACCTGTATTTTGACTTCACAACCACACCTGCTTGTAGGTTTATGTACTCTTTTCCTAGATACAAAATATATGGGAAATTTTTATCTCTCATTCCTTCTCTATGACAAAAGACGTTTGTTGGACCACTATGCATTTCCTGTTCCTAACAACATGACTTTTTCTACCAGCAAATCAAGGTAAAACATCTGTACCACTTATAAAACATAAAAGCCGCCTTCGTTGAAGGAAAGTGGCACCTCATCATTTCTTCACAACAGGTCTCTTTGAAGTTTATTTTCTCTAAATCATCCATTGAGTCAAGTGTATTCTTAGCATCAAATTTGCATCCATTTCCATTATTGTTCATCTCTCCTAAATCTTCTTCATACGATGACAAGTCTAAACTCTCATCACAATAACTATTTTTCTACAAAATTGTAAATTAACTACAACATCGTTAAAGTTACAAACATTATTTATAGCATATGAACTGTTACTTCAAACATACTTCATAAGCCACATTAGCAAGATCAATGTGTTATGCACCCTTGAAAATGTTAAAAATTTTCTAAATATCCATGGAAATCTGTAGTTACCTACAAATATTACGCAAAATAACTTTAACAACTAAACTTAATGTCGTGCATAAAACCTAAAACCTTTCAACAAAAACAACATTTGAAGCTTAATCAATCAAACTTAATACTTAATTTGAAATGGAAGGGATTATGTCATTTAACAAACCTAAAACTCTTTCAATAGATTCAACACCTTTGAAAACAAAAAAAAAAAAACAATTAAAAAGCTTAACAAAAACCAACTCCAAAATTAATTACGTTGACAAATTGAAGGGAAAATATATAGATCTTGAACAAATTAAAACTATGTTTTCAAGACACATTCAAAACACTAATGACGATTCTTTCATTGCGAGTTTCAGAAGAAAAAGAAAAAAGAAAAATCTAGATTTCACAACAATAAGAATGACTCAATTCAATTTGAATTGCATTGATAAATAGTACAAAATTTGTTATGATTCATTTTGTTATATATATATATTTAAAAAAAAAAGCGAATAAAAGATATGTTTATCACGTTTTTTATATTAAAAAAATACTAAAACCTACCTCCTTGTCACCGTGGACAAATAATTACTTTTACTTTTCTCTCATAATTTTTTCCACCATAAATGCCACCTAAAAAAACAATGAATTTCTAGTATGTTTGAAAAGCGAAATTAGATTTAAAAACCGAAAAACTAAAAAGTTTTAGAAAATAGTTTTTAGAAACAAATTTTCAAACAATTTTTTTTAGGGTAACTTGTATTCTAAGAGTACAAATTAAAAAATATATTTATAATTTTTTTTATTAAAAACATCAATAAAAAATTAAATTTTTTATTTTCATTAAAACAAGTGTACAATTTTCAAAATATTATTTTAAAAAAAAAACTAAAAACAGTTTTTAATATCTAAATAAATAGATTGTGAGAATGTAAAGATAAAGATAACGTTGAAGAATACTAGTTCCTGTCCTTCCTTCCCCGCAGCCATTAATTGAAAATACAATTCAAGTTCCGGTTTGTGTGTATTAAATGTTACCCTTAAAACGACTTGTCGTATGGCTATCGTCGTACAATCTCAACCGCAAAAATATTCAATTCATGAAAAACCAAACTCTCTCTTCTTCTTCTTTTTCTATTTTCAAATTCTATATAATACAAAATTTCGTAAAACCTTTCTCGAAACTGCAAAGCAAAGAATATAATAATTTAAAAAAAAAATGGGCACTGTTATTGACTCTCATTTCTTAGCCCTCACTGCCATACTCACCGTAACTATACTCTCTTCAATTACATTCATTATTAATATTAATTAATCTTTAATCTCTTTCTTCTACTATTGTTTAACTAATTAATTATTCTTCAGATTGTTTATCAGCTTCTGTTTTTCATCGTCACTGCACTTCTCAAATTCGATAAGGTCACTGATTTTGCAGGTACTTCTTCTTCTTCCAAAACTATATTCAATTAATTCAATTCTGTTTATTTATTTATTAACATAAAATTCTTCAATCCTAGGAAGTACCAATTTTGTTATAGTCGCTGTATTGACCTTAGTTCTCAAAGGTTCATGGCATTTTCGACAGGTAATTGTAAAATCACTTTCATGTAATTTCAATTTGGAATCAATTTATGTTATTAATCCTATGAATTCACTCTATTTTTCAGATAATCCTCACTGTCTTTGTTGTATTATGGGGTCTTCGCCTTGCTTTTTTTCTCTTACTCAGGTACTATCAATAACACTTCAATTCTCTTCAAATTCTAGGGTTTTTTCATCAATTTGTGTTGACTTTGTGAATGTTTGTTTTCTAGTTGATTTCATTTTTGAATGTCTCTTTTCAGGATTTTGCAGTGGGGAGAGGATCGCCGGTTTGATGAAATGCGGAATAATTTGGGGAAGTTGGCAGTGTTTTGGATATTTCAGGTTTCTTTGGATTTTAAGATTGAGTATGGTGGTTTTGGTTTTTATTTGATGTGTTGCGGAGTGTTTAATTTGATTTTTTGCAGGCTGTTTGGGTTTGGGCTGTGAGTTTACCTGTTACGGTGGTGAATGCAAGCGATAGAAATCCTTTTTTAAAGGCTGTGGATTTGATTGGGTGGCTTATGTGGGCGGTGGGTTTTATGGTTGAAGCTACGGCGGATCAACAAAAATTGACTTTCAAGAAGTCTGCAGAAAATAGAGGGAAGTGGTGCAATGTTGGACTCTGGAAATATACTCGTCATCCTAACTATTTTGGCGAGGTATGTCTGTTATTACTTTCCAATCAAAGTATTTTTCATTGAGTGCCCTTTGTGATTCTATGGTCTGCTTATTCAGTTCGTAAAGCCTATGTGAAAATCCTTTGTTAATGTCAAGTATACTGTTGCCTTGTAGGTCTAACCTAAGAATGTTATTCTTATTATGATTACAATTTCTTCGTAGTTGATTTGTTTTTGAATTTGGTTTTTATGATTTGGGGTTAAATCTTGTTGTGGCTGTCTCTAAGAGTAATCTTTTTCCCTGGATGGAGAAAACATATCAGAGATGAGTGAAAAGTATTTACCGTTTAGTATAACGGTTGAGACAAGTAAATATTGTCACCCAGGGGATAGTTGAGTAACGTCTTTTCATGGGGGTGGAAAAAACTCTAGCAGTTAGTTCTTTAGAAATAAAATTATCGGGTTTGTAATTTGAAATCTATTATGCTTAGAAATTATCTGGACAAATCACTGATCATATGACTTGCCAGTTGCTACACTCTGTAGTAGTTTTTGTCTAAATGTGCACATGGTTTTAGTGAAATGCCTGAATAAGCTATTTTTTATGTTGCTGTCTCCATAAAGTAAAATAAAATAAAGTGATTATTTTATTTTTCCTTTTTGGTGATTGGGTAATGGTTGGTAGAAGAGGTGTTTCATTTTTCTAATACATTTCTTATTTTATTAAAAAATAGTGTATAATATTAATCAAGCTTCATAAATGCTTATTTCAGATATTGCTTTGGTGGGGAATTTTTGTGGCATCTACACCTATACTGAAGAAAGCTGAATGGCTGGTAATCATTGGACCAATCTTTCTCACATTGTTGCTTCTTTTCATCAGTGGCATTCCACTGCTCGAGGTTTGCTTCTTACCTTTGATTTTGTAAAAAATGTGATGCAATTTTATCGCTTTTCTAATGATGAATTGCATAACGGAGGCAGGAATCAGCAGATAAGAAGTTTGGCGAAGTGGATGAATATAGGTTATACAAACAAAGAACGAGGTAAATTTACCTGCTCCATGTTACTACATATTTCAGTCTGTCATTAAGGAGAAACAACTAAGTCAAATCATTTTTTCAGCCCTTTAATCCCAATTCCACCAGGAGTCTATGGAAAGTTACCTGCATGGTTCAAGTCAACTTTTCTCTTGGAATTTCCACTGTACAGTCGGAATTTTCCCACAGAACAAATTTGGTGAGGGGCAATTCTAATTTCACTCGTATAACTTTTATGTTTGCATAACTGTTCTATTCTGCCATTTTGGGTTTCATATTCATCTCAATATTTGTCATTGTGTTAACTTATCAGAAAGAAAATTAGTAATTCTTGAGATTTTCACTTTTGATTTGATTCATGACTGCTCTATGTATTAGAAGTTTATAACAGTCATTAAGAACAAGATAACAATACTTTTAAGCTTTGTTGGTTATTCCATCCTAGTGTCTCAGACCGTTCAGATTGTGTAAAACCCGAGATTACCACAATCCGCATCGAGGGTGAGCAGAATGTCATAATAACGCATCATCATCATCTAGCCTTTATGCTTACTTGCTTAGTACTTTCTGAAATCAATTATAGATTTGGTTCAGAACCTTGCATGTCTATATCATCAAAGTGTCTGATTACCATAATATGGAATTGTGGAAGGATCCGATTTTATCGTCTGTAAATGTCAAATGATCTCTGAATGCTTTAAAATTTCTATTTATTAAATGTAGGTCTCGGTAAATGGTAGTATTGAATTATTTACTGTTTGCTCAAGGTGTAGAACAAGCAGTGGGGAAAGCAGCGATTCCTTGAAAATCGAGTAGTCTTGCATCACACTAAAGTTATAGTTGCCATCACTGTCTACTGCTGTTAGGAATTTTCTTTGGGGTTTTTACAAGGCCTTCTATTGTTACATCTTGCAACTTTTCTTCTTGTTTTTATCCTTTAATTTGGTTCTTTTCTTGTCTGTGATATATACCTTATGCAACTGTGCAGGAAACTAGATTATTTCTCTATCATAGTAATTCTTCCACTGCAATTAACATTTTGGCCCTGCATTGGCAAATATTTAACACAAATGTTTTTCACACGTGGCTGTTTTATTCTTTTGCTATATATTACATTTTTTGAATATAATTTTTTTTATGAACATATGCGGATTGTTAGTTATATTCCAATTACAAACTAGCATTCTTAATGCTTGTTTTTAGAATGCAAATAATCTGATTGCTGAATGAAGGAAAGTATCTTGCCGGCGGTAATACTTTATGAAAATTTGGAAATGCTCTTTAGAATTCGGAGATGCATCTCATACATACACCACTCTCGTTTTTGAATCACGTTTTAATTTTATGACTAAATTTAATTCGAAAATATATTTTCAAAGTATCTTCTGAAATATATTTCGGAACCGGTAAGAGACAAATTGTCCACACTGATTTTTTTCTCTTTCAAATTCATAGCTACTGAGTTATTACTTTGTTGATCATAAATTCTGCAAGGCATTGGTAATACACAAAAACTGGAAAAAAATAAAATAATAATAATAATAAAAAATCAAACATTACTTTCAAAATTCTCCTGTTTTTCAAATAAAATTTTTCCACTATCCAATTAGCAATTTTATCTTTTCAATTCATCTAGTCCATAATTACTCCATTTGACAAATCTTCATTATTCTCATATTTTCTTTTTCAATTAATGCAAAAAAAATTAGCTCCTTACAGTTATAGGTTTTGGATACTTCCAAAAACATTTTAGAAAATATATTTTCAAACTAAATTTAATTATAAAATTGGAATGTAGTTCAAAAATATGTGGACATATATGTGTCTGGAGCTCCCGGAAATTAGAAGTATTTTTTTGCTGTGAAAACACTAAATTTCTTCTGCTTTTGTTATTGAATAACTTTTTTGTTTTCATAATTGTGCATTCAAACCTTACCGTTTATCAAAAAATCTAAACGGCATAAATTTTGCAATTTTTTTGATATATACATCTATATGACTATATTTGAAATAATGTTGAGGGGTGTCGGACTAACCATGCAGTTTTTGTTTCCAATGTTAAATATGGAGAAATAATTAAATAGAAATGATCTTTTTTTTTAAAAAATCTTTATAGTATAACTAATAGAGAGTAGTTGTTATGCAACGTGTCATTGATCTGTTACAGCTATATGCCAGCTGTACAGTTAGTTACATCTAAGGCTACTTTATATACCATGCCTTTGTACTCTTTCAATCTAAGATTAATATATGAGATTTTCATCTTTCTTTTTTCTCTCTCTCTCTTGTGGTACTGTATCATGGTATCAGAGCTTCTTCTTTCCTGATCCAGTAATCTTCATTCATGGCGTCACAGTTTCGCAGCGACGGCGCCTTTCCTTCCGCTCACGTCAAGCTCTCTGTTAAGCTTGATGATAAAAATTTCAAATAGTGGAAGCAGCAAATCGATGGAGTTGTGTGTGGCCACAAGCTTCAACACTTTGTCACTGTTCCGGTGATTCCGCAGTGTTCGCCGGTGACTTCTGATCCGAATCTTAGCGAAGTCACTGATGCGTATCTTGATTGGGAGCAACATGATGCTCTTGTCTGCATGTGGCTTCTCTCCACGATTTCTGACTCGCTTCTTCCCAAACTTGTGGATTGTACTCACGCGTGGCAGGTTTGGACGGAAGTTCACCGCTACTTCGCTGTGCAGCTCACGAGAAGGCTCGTCAGCTACGATCTGAACATCGTCGTCTTTCCAAAGGTAATCTCAATATTGAAGCGTTCATGGCGCGAGTTCGCGAAATCAATGAATCATTGATTTCAGTTGGAGATCCTGTTCCGATGCGTAACCTAATTGAGATTGTGCTGGATGCGCTTCCTGAGGAGTATGATTCGATTGTTGTTGTTGTCAATAGTAAGGAAGATCTCAGTACGTTGGAGGATCTTGAATCCAGTCTTCTTGCTCATGAATCTCGATTGGAGAAACACAGGAAAGCGATTCTCACTGAACCTGCTTCTGTCAATCTAACGCAGGTTCCACCGTCTGAATCTTCTTCTCCAGCTGACTCTGTTTCGCAAGCTTCTGACTCCTTTCCAACTGGTACTAGTCACGTTAATTCTCACGTAGAAAGCAGTGGTTACAACAGAGGAGGTCGTTCAGGGCGTGGTGGCAGTCGTTTTGGCAAAACTCAGTGTCAAATCTGTCGCAAAAGTGGACACGATGCCTCTGTTTGCTACTACAGGTACACTCAGTCCTCTTCAAAGTCGTTTCCACCGCAACAAGCTCCCTTCAATCCATTTCTAGCGAATGCCCGTCCTGTGTATGCTCCTGTCTTTGGTTATTCCTCACCTAGACCAGCTGCACCACGACCTTCTCCTCCTCAAGCCTTTGTGGCTAGTTCTGATCCCAACTTCAACAACCAATGGTGGTATCCTGACTCATGTGCCTCACACCATGTTACACCTGACTCTTCCAACGTGCCTGATGCTCAATCTGTGACTGGTTCTGAACAAGTCTTCATGGGAAACGGCCAAGGTTTGTCCATTAACTCTATAGGTTCCATGAAATTTCCCTCCTCTCATCTGTCTCACACACCTCTCATACTTCACAACTTACTTCTTGTTCCTCACCAAAAACCTCATCGGTGTAAGTAAATTTGCACAAGATAACAAAGTTTTCTTTGAATTTCATCCTTCTTTTTGTCTTGTCAAATCTCAGGGTTCTTCTGAGGTGCTTCTTCATGGTATTGTTGGAGATGATGGTCTTTACAAGTTTCAGATTCCTTCCTCTCAAGTGTCAAAGCCTTTGTCTAGTCTTCATTCTAGCTCAGCTTTAGATTTCAATAATTGTAATCCTAGGGCTTCATGTAATACTGTCTCTCATTCCAATGATATTAGTCATACTATTACTGATTGTAATCCTTCATTTTCTATGAATAAAAATGATGTTTCTGCTGTTAATTTGCCTATTATTTACTCTACTGCTAAGTTTGTTCCTACTCTCAGTAAGTATGCTTTGTGGCATACCAGGTTGGGTCATCCCCATCATCAAGTTCTTGCTGAAGTGCTCAAAACTTGTTGCATTTCTCTCTCTTCTAAGTCTGCAACAGAGTTTTGTTCTGCTTGTTCCTTAGGAAAATCTCACAGACTTCCTACTTCTCTCTCTACTACTGTTTATAATCATCCTTTTGAATTAGTGGTTTGTGATTTATGGGGTCCTGCACCTATTAAATCTTCAGGTGCCTATACCTACTTTCTCACTTGTGTAGATGCCTTTTCTAGGTTCACTTTGATCTTTCCTCTTAGGCTAAAGTCTAATACCTTCTCTCAGTTTGTTCAGTTCAAAACTATGGTGGAACTTCAGTTCAACCATAAAATCAAAGTTGTTCAAACTGATGGAGGTGGTGAGTTTAGACCTCTCACCAAATATCTCAATGATCTTTGCATTGTGCATCGTTTCACGTGTCCCCATACCCACCATCAGAATGGCATTGTTGAGCGCAAGCATAGACACATAGTTGAAACAGGCTTAACCTTGCTTGCTCACTCTACCTTGCCCCTTCAAATGTGGGATCATGCCTTTATCACAACCACTTATCTCATAAACAGACTTCCTAGTGCGTCGCTTGAGCATCAAACTCCCTATTTCAAACTGTTTCACAAGTTTCATGATTATGCTCACTTAAGAGTTTTTGGTTGTGCCTGTTTTCCCTTTCTTCGCCCTTACAACTCTCACAAATTGGACTGTAGGTCCCAAGAGTGTGTTTTTCTTGGTTATTCTACCATTCACAAGGGCTACAAGTGCCTATCTGCCACTGGCAAGATTTATGTCTCTAGAGATGTCATTTTCAATGAGTCTAAATTTCCCTATCCTACTCTCTTTCCATCTCCTGCCATTGATCAATCTTCTTCACTCCCCTCTACTCCTTCTTATTGGTCCTTCCCTCTTGTTCCTAATGTTTCTAACTTTGTCACTAGGGCTGTTTCTGCTGTGCCTATCACTCATGTGTTAGAACACAGATTGGTTCTTAATAATAACTCTTTGTTTTGATGATAACTGTTAGGAAATTTTATATTTAAGAATTATATACTCTAAAATTTGCTTGTAAGTTTTACTGCAGATTGAAATGAAATTAACTCTCTAGAAGCAAATCTGTACTGTATACAAGAAGTTATCTAGACTCTGAAGCGCCAGATGCACTCATTAGAAGATTCTGATTGCTGCTTACAGAAGATCCTGAGCGTAGTCTCCAGAAGAATCTGAAGCAAGAAGCTCCAGAAGATTCTGAAGCTAGTCAGAAGCATCTGAAGCAAAGAAGAATATTGTATGAAGAGTTTCTCAAAGCATAGTTTCTACAGAAGTTTCTGAAAGTACTGACGCTGCCAAGTACTGAAGTTCTGTGTCAAATATGCTCTGATGATCAACACGCTGAAAGCACACATGCTGCAGAAGACTCTGATACAACAAAGTTCTGAACCTCATTAGAAGACTCTGACTCATTCAGATTCTGAAGAACTTGCTGAAAACTGAAGAAGAAATATTCAAAGATTATATCCGTTGGAGTAAATCAAACGTCTCTTTCCTCATTTGTGCTAGACACAAGAACACAGACAAAAAGGATTATTTTGTGCTTTCTACTTCTAGGAAAGGTCACTTGATGTGAAGACAAAAAGGCTCAGACCTTTTGGGACACTCTTCTCAACGCTCAGTATCCTTGGATCAGCTGCCTATAAAAGGAAGACTCCACCAAATTCTTCAGTTACATAATTTGCTGAAAAGAAATCATAATATTCAAAGCTCTCATTCTTTCATATTCTTCTTAGAATTTCTT